GCATAATTTACAATTCTCTAATTGGAGAAAAAACTGGAAACTTTAAATAAGAGAAGCAACGTGTACCATGGCAGACCATGTACAATTTAATTACATTCACATTAGGAAAAGCCTACCACATATCTTATAAACAAATGAACAGTTGGTGATATTGCCAAGCAATAAAATTTAACATAAAAAATAAAATGAAGTAAAAGTCAAATTTAAACTTATAACATTAGAATATTTATGTCTTGGAATTGTACTGCAACACACAGATAAGAGATCATCTCTGCAAGTATTCACCTATTTAAAGGTCCACATCTGAGTAATTAACTAAACAAAGCCAAAATAGATTAATAGAGTAAGATAAGATGATATGAAGCGACAATCAATTATTTAAAATTTTGAGCCTTACTCAGAAAAATTCGGTAGGCATGAAGTTCTCCTGCATTTTATTGGTACAAAGGAACTAAAACGAGGTTATCTTTTGGAGCGTCAGAATGATGCAGGTGTTTGGACATTTCAAACAGGATAACAGAACAATTGTGAATGTATAAGAGACTCACAAAATTCATCGTGGAGGGCCGGCCCGGTGGCGCACTGCTATCGTGCGCTGCTTGGGAAGCGCGGTGGCGCTCCCGCCGAGGGTTCGGATCCCACATACAGACCGGCCGCTCACTGGCTGAGCGAGGGGCGGGAGCAACACTGAGGGTTGCAATCCGTTGCCGGTCACGAAAAAAGACAAAAAGGAAAAAAAAAAAAAAATTCATCGTGGAAATACAAAACAAAACCTTCTTATAGTGTAGATGAGAAAGGATTACAATATTAACCAGTCTGTTCCAAAGTGGTTAACAAATTCGTATTTCTCTCTCATACTTTTTTCTCTTACTTCTCTGTCAAGCAATGTGTGGTATAGCACTATAATTTTTATTTTTATTATGCTTTTTTGCTAACAAGGAGATGGAAATGTAAGATATTTAAAGTGGAGATGTTCTAAACATGGTTTTTCGTTGAAGTCAATTTCTTCAAAATCTGGTATGGAAAATACACATCAAACTTCTAGTATATACAATATGGAAAATAAGCATATTTAGCATAACGAATAGGGAAAATAATTGGTTAAAATAAATGAATGCTGAATGAGGAAAATATTTCCTTAATAGTGCTGGAAGCAAAGTGGTGGAAACACTCTGTATTAGCCAGAGCACTAAGAAAACATTTGATATGCAATAATACCTTAGGGAATATATCTGATGATACTCCAGGCCTCACACTGGTTTAATGCCTATAATGTCATCTAAATGTCAGTAATGGAAAAAAATGAGGGGAAGGAAGAAGATTACAAAAAACACATGGGCCCGTCTGTCTTTCTGTATCTAACTCTACAGGGATTCTCTATTAGAATTACATAATACTGGAATCTGGTCTGTGACGCCTAAGACAAATTATCTACAACCAAATTTTCCATGCTGCATCTGTGGATAACATAAGTATCGTCCAGACTTCAAATTCTTAGTTCTGTCACACTTATAAAACAGCAGGAAACACTGGAAATTTTCCTTCTATTTGGGATCAACTTGAGCATCATCTCCCTTACACCCCCAAACCCCACTGGGGGAATTCTTTCTTTTTCTTTTATTCTTTTTTTACAGGAAATTTTTCCTCTCCAAAAACAACATTTGCTTAGTTTTGGCTCTGTTAACAAGTAGGGTGACAGAAAATGCATGCCAAGAGAAGCCTGATTATTTCAATGTTAGTTTTTATTTTTTTGCTCATTTGTCTTAAACAGTGACAGGATTACAGATTGTGAATTTTGAACAGATCTGAAAGGTTATTAAGTTCATCTCCACAGAAGTGAGTAATATGCCCATAAGTATTTGAATGGTTAAAGAAACAGTGAAGAAAACAGGATGCTCTGAGTCCTATTCCCAGTGCCTTTTGCACTTCACATAACCAGCTCTCATTTACCATATGCATAAAGCGATGAAAGAGCTGGACGCATAACCCTCTCCAGCTAGTCCCCATTCCTAGTTATTATTCCAAAGAAACGCTGCTGAGGAAAAATGAATATCTGACAAGCTGCCACTCTATCCTCCTTCTTATGAAAACTTACTAGTAAATAATGCATCTCTTCTGGAATTTAATTTCACATTTTTAAAAGTCAAAGATAGCCTGTAGTAAATCTTTATACTTATTTGAAAAAACATTTTAAAAAGCATAACATTTATTATGTAGTTTTTCCCTATGTTGATCTCCCTAAGAAATTAAATTTTATAACATAACATTTACTGGGCATTATAATGTGGGGCACCCTCAGCAGTTTTCTTTTATTGCTTATGTTAGAGATCTGATCGGTGATAATCTTTAAAAGAGAGCTTACATATTCATTAGCCTCTACTTTTAATACATATTCATTAGCCTCTACTTTTTTCTCTGAGAATTTCAGAAGAGTGCAGTTGACCAAAAAGCCCAGCAGGGAGTTGGCATGCTGGCTTATAGGAGGCTTTCATATGCAATTTACCAGGGTCAGGCTCTGATCCTTAGCCTCTGGCCTCTAGGCTTAGAAACTAGATTGGCATGCTGAGGATTCTCTAGGGTGGAGTCACAGGAACTAAGTTAACAAAACTGATTTATAAAACCAGAACAGTATTAATGTACAAGAAATAGATCTATCTCAGGAACAAGAGTATGTGCACCTGCAGTTCCAGCCCACTGCCTCAAGTCCAGTTCACTAATCTACAATATGAAACAACTGTCAAAGCAACCAGTACATTTGAGAGAGCATAAATAATGCATTTTCTTCCTATGAACTAAACTACATTGGAAAGAAAAATAATCAGAACAAAGGAAGTTAGACTCATGGAATGTTTAATGGCATTAAGCTGATACATCCATCTCACGATAAGGATGCATACCAGCAAAGGGACTAGAATCCTTGAGGAATCACTGGCTACAACCTGCTGTATCCATTTCCACCTAAGTGTGGCTTGCCATATGTCAGAATACTCAATGTACACTGATAAACCTCTCTACATCCCTCTCCACGTTAGGGACAAAGGTTCCCTTACGCTTGAACAGAACTTGAATAGGCACTTTCAATATTCATCTTTTTAAATTCATTTTCATTAATGACATCCCCTATCTCCACTTTCTGACTGATACTCTGCTTCAATAAAATTAGACTCAAATCTTGTAACCTGAAAACTAATCAGACTGTTTAAAGTAAATTCATATTTCTAAGTGTAGCTTCATTAGAGTTTTAATTTAAAACTTTAACCTTTAGAAAGCATTCATATTTCCTTTATTTCCAGGTTCTTAGGAAAATGTTAACAGTTCAGACTACTTTCACTATGTCAATAATGGATGATTGGCATATAAAACTACACTTAACCCTATTAATATATCTTGCAATACCAAGAAACAAATATGTTGATAATAGGAAACATCATTCCATTTTTCTGAGATTGCATTCTTCCACCATTCCTGAGGTAGAGGCTTTTCTATAACCTTCATGTAAGAATCTAATAAGCTCCTAAGGGCCGGGATTTCTGCTTTACTCACGATTTATCCCAATTGCCTAGAACAGTGTAGTGCTCAGTAAATACTTATTGAATGAATAAATGAACACAACCTACAATCTAAACCACATATTAAAAAAAAATCAAAATCAAATAATCCAATTAAAAAATGGGCAAAGGAGATGAATAGACACTTTTCAAAGGAAGACATACAAATGGCCAACAGGTAAATGAAAAAATGCTCAGCATCGCTAATCATCAGAGAAATGCAAATCAGAACCACACTGAGATATCATCTCACCCCAGTTAGACTGGCCATTATTAAAGACAAGAGAATAACAAATGCTGGCAGGGATGCAGGGAAAGGGGAACTCTTCTACACTGTTGGTGGGACTGTAAATTAGCACAGCCATTATGGAAAATAGTATGGAGGTTTCTCAATCTACCATATGGTCCAGAAATCCCACTAGTGGGTATATATCCAAAGGAATGGAAATCATCATGTCGAAGAGATACCTGCACTCCCATGTTCACTGCAGCTCTATTTACAGTAGCCAAAATATGGAACCAACCTAAGTGTCCACTGGCGAAGGACTGGATAAAGAAAATGTGGTATATATATACTACTCAGCCATAAAAAAGAATGAAATTCTGCCATTTCTAGCAACATGGATGAGTCTGGAGAGAATTATGTTAAGTAAAATAAGCCAGACAAAGAAACAGAAATACCACATGTTCTCACTCATAAGCGGCTGCTAGGAAGGAAGGAAAGAAGTGAGAGATGGAAGGAAGGAGGGAAAGAGGGGAAAAGTAAGGAATGAAGGAAAGGAAGAAAGAAAAGACCACAATAGGGCCGAGCCAGTGGTGCACTCGGGAGGGTGTGGTACTGGGAGCACAGCAGTGCTCCCGCCGCGGGTTCGGATCCTATATAGGGATGACCGATGCACTCACAGCGCTCACTGGCTGAGCGCGGTGCGGCCGGTCTCAAAAAGAAAGGACAAAAAAAAAAAGAAAAGACCACAATATGTTGAACTTTCAGAAGAAGAGAACAAACCTAAAGACAATAGAGATGGAGGGGAGGGAGTGAGGGAGGGGGTTTGGGAAGTGATGGGTCGGGCAAAGGGCATAAAGAAATATCACGACTTGTAAGAATGAATGTGCTACTAATAAATATTTTAAAAAAAAATCAAAATCCAGGAAGTGAGACTCTAAAACAATACACATTATCAACTTGGTATCTCTTACTTAATCTACTGACTTCTAACACATCATTCTTAAACAAAAAATTCTGCTGAAATAGAGTTAATTACAATAATATACCATAGTTAACAAGATATTCAACAAATGTGTTGGCATTTATCAACATAAAATTATTTCAAAATTCTTTTATTATTCCAATTTTTATCTTTTTTCAGACATTTTATTCTTCTTATTGAAAGAAGTAGTTGGCAATACATTTTTTAAGCAAGTGCAGAATATAGGTTAATTGAAAGGCTTTACCTATGACTTTATTCTTCTTTCCATTTTTTATAGGTGTACAAAGCAAACTTCTAGTGCACTGCTGGTTTACATTTCCTGTATTTTCATTCTAAACAAAAAACAAAAACGAAACAGAATAGCTAAAATGGTAGGAGATTGATTTGTCCATTAGTTGCCGTATAAACTATATGGAACATTTGAAAGCACTAATATATTCATCTTTTTTATTAGCTACAGATAACACTGGAGTGCAGAAAATGTACAAATTATAATAAAGTTCACATAAATGCAATATAGAACAACCAGTCTTTATTTAAAAATAATATGCTAGATTTCTTTTTTTCACTTTAACTTTCCACGCAGCTTATAATAACATGAAGCAATATATTTATTCAGTATCTACTATGCTAGTGTGGTAGATGTCTCAAATAATTTAACAAGAGGAGCAGAATCCAAAAGCACTGTACCACCATAGATTCTACATTACAAACCTATCTTTCTTTAGTAATATCATTGTTTCTATTGCCCACATTGCTAGAGTTCTAAAAAGGTCTCCTAGCTGCCTCAAAGGGCAGTGCCTTTCTGAAATAAGATGAGAGAAAATGCCAGAATTCAAAGTTTTCAGTGTCTTAGAAACAGATCTTTGTAGCTTTGCAGTCAAGAAAAAGAAATATCCATTTTCCCACAGAGCTCCTCACTACAGTAGATTACCAATTATGTAAGTTCAAGCCATATGGAACTTAGTTTTTTTGATAAAATCAAGAACTACAGCAATACTATCTAAGGAATATCATTGACATTACAAAATAATAGTTAAATTACTTCAAAACTAGTATATAATAGTTCATGCAATACATGTTAAAAAAAATGAAAAAAAGTATAGAGAGAAATACCCAAGTATAGCTCTCTACAGATGTTTTGAGCTATTTTATTCTCCTTTAGGGAAAGCACAGATCACCCTGAAGCAGTCAATTCTAGTGTTGCTTCAAATGCACAGTAACTGTAAGTACATATCTGATGGGAAAACAGCCTTCTAGCTTCAAGTCTAAAATTGGGTTACTTACTGTCCAGGGAAATCTTTTGTCCTTACTGACATCTGGGATATTAAGTGGTTCCATAGTATTTTTGACATACTGAGCATACATGTAATTGATTTTGTTTGCATCACGTTCCCTGTGGAAATAATGGTTATGAGCTCCTTCTATGCAGTGAAAAAAACATGGGCAAACAGAGTCAAATAAGTGATTAAAGGAGAAACATACCTGTCTTAAATTATAAGGCAAAATATATATCTTAATTGGGAGATGCAGCTTTAAACGTGTTTGATGATTTACAACTTTGATAGTTAATATAGTTTAAATGTTTTGAAAAGACAAAACCCCACAATATTCCAACTATCTAAAATAAATTTAAGCAATGTCATAAGTAATCTTATTACCACTGTTAATGGGCATGATTATTTTTGTGCTATTTAATGTAAAATTCATACATTCATGGATTCCCCCCATGTCTTATTTTCTCATCAGACTATAGAATGACTACAGTCTAGCACTTGTTTTACTCCAATTATTTATTTTATTTATCCAAGCCAATAAAACAATCTTTCACACATTCTAAGACCAAGAGAAAAATCAAGCAGGCCTAGAAGAAAGTCTTTTTCCTTTCTTCATCTTTTTCTTTTCTTCTTCCTTAACATCTTTCCCTTTGTTCAGTTTCCTCTCTATACTCTTTATTTCCCTGCTTTGAGATCCTTTATGATATTTTTTTAAATTAAAAATTTATCTTCCTCAAAAAATTTTTTTGAACTTAAATATTTTTACCAGTTTGTTTTTAGTCTCTTGCTTAATAGGTTATACACAGAGATTAAACTGATGCCAGAGGGTACAGTATTAGTGCTGGGGATAGGAAAACAGACTAGAACATGTTTTTTTCATAAGGAAACTCCATATGTTCCTGGTGATGGTGATGAATTTGGCAAAGAGGATAGGATTATGGAAATTGACCCCAACTATAAGGATATGCCTATCTTAATTGTAATATGACAAACTGAAGGAACAGGAAAGCCTAATAGAAGGAGACATTTCAAAATAAAATATAAGCCTCAGAAAAAATGTGCACTTGTTCTGTGTTTTCAACATTCCAGTACTTTTGCCTGACTTCTGTCCTTCCCACTCAACTTGCCCTAGCTGCTTCCTTGGACAGTGCTTCCATATGCTGTTCTTGAGCACTAGTGATTCCACAAAGATTCTGAAGTCTGTGGCCTCATTGCTGGCCATGATATTTGGTCTTCCCTTTCTTTGTGATACATTTTACTATAAGTATAATTTGGCACATCGAGTACTGACTACTTGTTCGGTATTATGTGTAAGTGAAAAAGAATGAAAAGAAAATGGCAGAATAGTAACATAGGAGCAAATGATCGAATAATTCTCAAGACGAGACTGATAATCTGTGCAGGTATGCCAATTATCATACACCTAAGCCCTATTACACTACTGGGGTCCTATTTCATACATATTATCTGGGTGACATTCAAGAAAAGGTTTTGAGATGAGTGCAGGTTTTAGGTTAATAAAACAATGTTTAAAAGTGCAATTATTTTATAGACAGCAACAGCCTAGGAAAAAGAAAAGAAGAAGCTATAGTAAAGATAAGAAAAATGCACAGGTGGCCACCATAGAGATATAGAAGTACTAAAATTACTCATAAATCAACAGATAACTAATACCTTATTTAATAGTGAAAAATGAGCATTAGATATATTAATATTACGTGATACCATGTTTATTTCTTACTCTATAAGAAATGGTTATAAATTCTTAGTTCCTGTACTCAATAAATATAGATTGAGCACCTGCTCCATTGGGACACCCTTAGCTGATGCATGCTCTCTGCCCCCTCTTCCCCTGTCCTCCATCCTACTGTTTAAAACATGGATATGATGGCTAGAGCTACATCCTTGATCCTGAAGGGAAGGGCCACACCCAAGGGACACAAGGTTGAAAGGCCAAAGGTGCCCAGGTCCCTGAGGCCTCCTTGGAGCAGAGCTGCAGCACCTACCCTGAGCTGCCTATGTCTGTGCTTTTACAGGAGAGAGTAGTAACACTGCATTCTTCTTTAAGCTATTTTTATTTTGAGTTTTCATAGTCCACAGTCAAACCTAATCCTAACCAATATAGTTAGTAATAATGCAAGCACCACACATGTGGAGAAGATGGACAGACAGCACTTAAATGGAATGTATTAGGGTAGAGGTGGCAAAGAAATGCATAAAAATACGGCTAAGATTTAAAAAGGGAAGAAAGACATCAGGAATGAAAAGGAGGGTATTCAGGCAGAGAAAAACAATATAAAGTACATTGCTGAAATGGAAGAGTTCCATGTATATCTGAGAAATACTAAATATAGATTGTCAGGAATAAAGTGATGATTTCAGGCTGAAAATGTTAGGCTAGGGCAGAGAGTGGAAGATTTTGAAATGCAATATAAGGAATATGGATCTCATTCTTTAAATAAAAGGAATATTATGATGGCCCTAGAAATGTGCCTCTCAGAGCTCCGACTGTGGGAAGAGTAACTGACCAATGTCTCAAATTGCTGTGTTCTGGAACCCAGCACCTTGTCTGCACTGAGCCCACACCTACCAGAGCTGCTCCTAAACAGACTGACCACACTAAGGACACTAAGGGAGGCCTATTCCTGGGGGACCCAGGATTCTTCTGACTGAAACCTTTGGCTAGGGGACTCCCCAACAGCCTTGCCAAAGTTTCCTTAGAACTGCTCATGACACTTCCACACAACGTTCTTTCTCCATCTCCTTCACCATGGGTCAGACTTTTGATTGGGTCTGATGGCTCTCGTAGCCTCTCCTAACTCTTTCCCCCTTTACTCTCACAGGGTGTTGTGTTACCCCTAATAATTTTCTGCACATTTAATCTAGTCTCAGTATCTGCTTCTTGGAAGACCAGGGCTAACTCAGACATCTAAGGCTTTTTGCACAGTGGATATCAATGGAGTTGTACATAAGTGCATTGTTGGGAAGACAGAGTTAGGGACATGGTGCTTGAAAAGAGAAATTTCTGTGCTTTAAAATTAAATGGGAATCACTGCAGGCTAATGTAAACCAAAAACTGAAAAACATATTGAAGAGACACAGAAATAACAGCTAAAACTTACTGAGTACTTATTATGTGCCAGAAATTTTCTAAAGCATCTTATATGCACTATCTCACTAAGTACTTACTTACTACAATCCTACTATCATTACATATGAAGAAACTGAGGTTTTGAGAGGTTAAATAACTTACACAAAGTCCTACAGCTAGTAAGTGGTGGAACTTAAATAAAATCAGTCTGATTTCTACATTCTTCTACTCTATATTCATAGTTTTTTAAAGTAGCAGTCCTTATTTAATTATAATCATGTTTTCTAATATAATAATCAATAGCAAGTAGTAACTAATATATATATTCCAAGAAAGTGAGCTTAAAGGATTAATTCTATGTATTTGTCATTTTATGACTAAAAAATGTGCATTTATAAATGAACATAAAGTTAACTAGTGTGGAATTATAGCACTAAAATATCTATTTCTCAAAATAAATAACTAACATAAACTGTACAACATCATACTCATTTTTTTTCCTTCTAATTGGATGGCTCTCTGAATTGAAGCATGGAAACTCTGAAAATCTCCCACCATCTGGAAATGAGCCTCCTTTAGAAAATCCCTGGGCAATCCAACTCCCAAAAGCCTACTATGCTTTATTCCACTAATAATAGGATTCTAATAATTACGTATGATTTGCCCTGAATTTTTTAGTTTTACACTTAACATTTCAAAACTGTCTTCAATATATCATTTAAATTTATAATAAAGAATCAATGGATAGGTAGGAAAAACCCCACACTTTTCAGTTGATAAATAATTGCCTAAAAAGAATGATTTGCTTACTGCTAACACCATCAAATTGCCTAGTGTTTCATCTCATTGAAGAGTGTTTGAATTGGCAAAGTGATAATTGATGAGAATTAGAGAGTACTGCATTCTACCAATAAGCAGTTTTAGAAATGTAATAAAGAATCTGCTGGTGAAAAATAAGTATCAATATCAGTTTAGCCCCCTTTCAAAATGCTGAAGTTACTAAACACCATTTTATTTTTATTCTTTTTGTTTTGTTTCTCATTTTTTGGGGGGGGGCGGGGGGTGGATGCTAGCTAGTAAGAGGGATCAGACCCTGGACCTTGGCGTTATCAGCATCAGCACCACACTCTAGCCAACTGAGCTAACCTTCTAGCCCCCTAAACACCATTTTAACTCAGTTTTTCCAAATTAGGCCTGCTATCTAATTTTTATTAAAATAAAAACATATGTACATGGTTAAGATATCTTTGATTGCATCACTATAATAAAGGTTAATTTAAAAATGTTTAGTTGAGGGCCGGCCCAGTGGCGCACTGGATAGTGCGCCGCTTAGGAGGCGCGGCAGCGCTGCCGCCCGAGGGTTCGGATCCCACATACAGACCGGCTCCCGCTCACTGGCTGAGCGAGGCACGGGAGCAACACCGAGGTTTGCAATCCCGTTGCCGGTCCCTGGTCCGGTACGGGGGCAACACTGAGGGTTGCGATCCGTTGCCGGACACGGAAAAAACAGACAAAAAGACAAAAAAAAAAAAAAATGTTTAGTTGACACAAGCCATTAGTGTTAAGTGATTTTCATTACTGTAAAATCAGTTAATGAATCAGTTAAAATGATTCATGTAAATTAGTCTCTTTTAAGGAAATCACATTGACCTATTTATACTTCACAAAAAATATCTTTTTACTATGACTGTTTTAGAATCATTAAATAAATAAGTGGAAAGATATTTTCCATTTTGCCTACAGAGAGGGAATGGTGGTATTCATCAGAAACAAAATTAAATATATAGCAAGACTTTGCTTTTTTTTAAAAAAATGCATATTCACCAGTAGAGGTCACTATTACACCAACTCACGGGTTTGTTCAGTTATCACTAGAAGAAATTACAGGACCACTTGAATTGATGATAAAAATCAAAAAGCCAAAACATAAAATATGATTAGAGACATATGATGCTGCACAAATATTTAAAGGTAATGTATATAATTCATCATTTTATACTTTTAATATGCGTTATCTTGCCAATTTTCTTATTGTCCTATGGAGATAAAGGTAAATATATAAATATAGATGTACGTATTTATAGTATTTATATATATAGTAACTTATTCGTTATGCAGATTTGGCTTCAAATATTTACATGTGTCTTATCTAGAAACGTTCTAAAATACTTTTTTCCAAAAAGAAAAAAAGAAGTCACAGCATAATAAAATCAAAATAATACGTACTAATGCTCCTCCTAAGGATAAGAACCAAGGATTCTTAACCAAGCTAGGCAGTACAACCTGCTACCAGCAGTTGAGAGGAATAAACACACGCCAGGCTGTGTGTATATTATAATGCATTCAAAAAGGATTCAACACTAACAAAAACAATGTCAGATATGCCAGAAAATACAATTGCACAGTGGCTTAGGAAAGAATAGGCATGGAGATGGGATATACCTTTCAGCTAATGACCAGCAGGGCTTAGAGGGAAATAAAGGTCAGTTATTCAGTTTCACCATGTGAACCAAAAATTCCAGGACAGCAGAAAAATCTCTGGGTAGAGATACCGTGGTTTATCTGCCTTGACTACTCATCCCACACCCATGTCAGAAGTCAAGGCTTAAGTCAGGTGTATCTTCTGAATCAAATGAATTACTCATCTGCTTACAAGATACATTCCTGCCCCCTTGCTAATTCCTGAAATTCTTTTAATAGTAGGAGAAAAAGCCTTTCATTGTATTATATTGTTAAATTAATAGTCTAGTAATAATGAGTTTTGATTTTAATGTAAACACTTAACAAACTAACAACTTTAAGTCACTGTGGCCAACCGACCCTTCTCCAACTTGATGGGGGAAACACTTAGAGGACAGGGAACATGAGAAAAGATAAGAGGGGAAGAAGAAAGGAAAGGGTACATAGAAAGGACTGCAGCAAGACAAACACAGCTTCTGCAGACCTCACAGTGATCTTTGGGCCTGTCTTGTTTAAGAGGGTCAGAACAAAAACAGGCTGTGCATTGAAGTATTTTGTTCTTGCAGCTGCAAACTCTGCTTTATATGATCTACAGAGATAGTTTTTGTTTTACTTTGTTTCCCACTTTTTATTATAAACACATTCTTCCAATTTTTTTGATGAAGTTTTGAAATAGTATAGGGAAAACGTGAAAGTTAAAAGTAAAATGAATATCTTCTAGATTCAACAATTTTTATATTTTGCCATATTTATATATGCATATGTGGATATACTTGAATTTACTTATTTAAATATACTGAATTTAAATATATTTACTTATTTGTTTTTGGCTGAACCATGTTAAAGTAAGTTGCAGACACAGCAACATTTTGTCCCTAAATACTTCAGCATGAATCTCCTAAAAAATAAGAACATTTTTTAACTAATGACAATATCTTTCTAATTCCAAAGAAAAGTAAAAATTCTCTATCACCATCTAGTATAGAGTCCATATTCAAATTTCCAATTGTCCCCCAAAATGTCTTGGATAGCTATTTTGTTTAGTTTTTAAAACCAGGATCAAATCAAGTTTCAAATATTGCATCTGGCTGTTATGTCTCAAGAACAGTACTCTCTATCCATTTGATTCAATAACATTAACTTTTTAAAGAGACCAAGCCATTTATGTTACAGAATATTCTATAGTCTAGATTTGCACAGACATTATTTTTAAAGCATCACCACCAAGGAGCTTAGTTACTGAGGACTTTACTAATTGTGACTCCATTAATTACATGAAATAATTCTGATAGGTCGACTGCATTGAAAAAAATCTAAAACTTTAATATCAAATAGTGAAGTTAATATTCTATTTCCATATGAGGTTTTTAGATATAATAATTAGGGGTAAAATAATTTGAAACAAATAAACAATGAACAATGTGATAAATAGCATTATGCCCAGAATTACTGACACTTTATCATAGCAGATTTATACTCTTATATATATATATATATATATATTTATGTTCCTTTGCTAAGAGTGAAAAAAGGAATATGAGAAAGAACATTTAGCAGTTTATTCTAAATTCATTTCAAAATTCTTCACAAAGCACATACAAAATTGGGATAATAACATCTATAACCTCCATAATATAAATACTTTATATTGTTTCGGAGTAATAATTAAGAACAAAATAATGAATATAAATTTAAAAACAAGGAAAACGTGAAAAAGAACTGAACTACAGTAGATATCTGATCTGATACTAGCCATAGGGGGTAGATGTATTGGTGTGATCAGGACCATAGGCTTCCTTCTGTTATTAGTTAAATCCCTATGGCTGATTCCAAATCAGAACAGACTTGCAGAAAAGCTTGTTCGGAAGCCTATCAATTTCTAGTAAAGGTCAAACACTCAATGAAAAAATATACAGTAACTGAAATATAGTCTTAAATAAACCGGCTCACAAAAATACTGTACTGAGACCTACACTAATTGCAACACCATTCACCATATAAAATAATTCTCAGAAAGGTCAACTGTAATGAAAACATGCTGGGACTTTAACATCAAACAGTAAAATATTTTCACAAATAAAATTATTTGTAGGGGGAGAAAATAGCCTGTAGCTTATATGTCTTAAATCAAACTGGTCATGAAATAACTATTTAGCCAATAATATATACTTGTGATAAAGACAAATAAAGAATAAGGTATTTTACCTTGTTAAATTATCAGATGATTTTTCTAATTCCTCACATTCCATGTGAAACACACTAGCAAAAGAATCCTGAAAACAGAGTGACAGCACAGACTGAGAAACAAATTTGATAAGGTAATGAAAACTACCTACATACAGACATACATGCTATGGAACTGACAAGATTACAATACTTTTATTTTTACTCACTCTTAGACAAAACAAACTTAAGTACTCATAAGTACCCATTTCATGACATCCTCAAAGCTGTTTCCCATCATTAAAAGCTTTGTTCTATATATCATCTCTGATCTTTACTTGCAAGAATGCTTATTTGAGTACTATTTGTTTTTATTTTGGCTTTTAAGCACACATTGATTGCTGTTGTTAAATCCCAGCTAAGTAATGCCTTTTTAAAAAGATGTATCACTCAGTAATATTTTATGAGATCATTAAAATAATTGTAAAGATTTTAGCAACATTACATTAAAAAGCAGAATACATGCTGCAACCATGTTATATGTGCAACTGAATAAAAAATTGCAAGGAAACACACAAATAAAACAATGATAGTTTAATTTGAGAAGGGAAGAACTCAGTATATTTTTTCCTTACATTTTGATTTTTGCTCATTTTGTTGAAATATTTTAAATCAACAAATAATTGTAATATAAATGAATATCAAGTCACGTAATTCCTTTTCTAAATCCAACAACTTGTCAAAAAGTGAGCAAAATATATTAATGGGCATATTGTTAAGCTATGCTTCAGAGCAGCACTGATCCAAATCAGTTTGCTACCATAATAGGTGTTAACTGGTAGAAGGATGCATTGAAAGTTAATTAAAGTGACATTTAAGATGTCTAAAAAAGAATGCCTCATGTATAACTTTTAATAATTAAATGCTAAAGAGCAGGTCACAGCAAAAATGATAAATTGACATACCGCATTGACAAATTCTGACCTGAACTTTAAAAGGATAGCTATCATCTTGTAATTACCTCCATATTAAGAATTTTATAACTGACTGAAAATATGAAAAGTATCTATGAAAATACTGATTATTTTTTAGCATAGTGAACTCATTTGATATCCTATTAATGATAATTTTGTATTAATCAACACATCCATCTGACATATACACACACAATGATTTAGATGATGTTGGGTCATATAGTACAGTTTTAATACCTAAGCCAATTAAAAATTTTTTAATGTAAATAAGTATTGAATATCTTTTACTATTCTATTTCCCCCAAAAGCATCAATTCAGGTATCATATATAGATTATAACTGACCTATACAAGTGGTGGTCCCTACTTTGTTTCCTATTAACCCACTGATGAATAGGCTATTCTTAGGGACTAAAGAAAACAGAAAACAAACAACTATGTAAAAAAAAAAAATTCCAGAAGCAGTGGTTCATAGGCTGAGGAGGGAAAGAAATTGCATAAAGGAAAACTGCCTTAGGCTAGGGGTCCTTATTCTAATAGCAAACTCAAGACAATTGCCTATAAAATAACCAGCACTCTATGACAACTCTCCATCTTTCCAGACTCACTCAGAAGTCAGTGGATTGAAATCTACCAATTAAAACAGTTTAGTGTTTTGCCACTGTTGGTAAACGATATGGAACTTATAGGCCCCTTTAGCAATATTGACTCTAATGGGCTAAGCCTTCTGGTTTCTAAATAATTTCTGGTTAAAAAAATAAATAAATAAATAAATACCCAATCCATTCACAATGGGGGTCTTGCCTATTCATAGCAACCAGGGCACCATTATTCCTGACCATGAAAAGTCAGCACACTGTAATGACAATGTATTTCCCTGTCGAGACTGTATAGCTATTGACAGAAGCAGCACACAGTCATTCCCATGGTAACCATTTAGCAAGGGGTGGGGGTTAAGAAGCAGGGGATGGTCAGAGGTGAAAGGGAGTGTTGAAAGAACCCTCTACCTCCGCCTTCATCTCTCTTCAACCAGAACACCTCATACTCTGATTGGCCTTGTATAAATATCCATATTCAGTTGGGTTTGAGAGAGTTCTGGGGCCAAGACGAAGTTTAAAAGCAGTGCTTGCAGGAATATAAGTTTCTGTCTTTCTAAAAATAAAAAAGTCACACTTTGTACTCACAGAGCAATCTTCATCCACTATGAAGATTGTGCATTTCTGCACCTGCATGAAAGAAATAATTGTGGCAGCTATTTTCTTCAGAATTACTTCTAATGATTGTTGTTCTTCAAAAATTAAGCTAGCAAGGTCAAGCAGCACCTAGACAAAAATATTAAGATGTTGTTATTTAGAAACTGTTTGTAATTATGAAAGCAAAATAGTATCTATGGGTTATAAATTGTTTATATCAAATATGTCTCTGCTTACTAACAAAATTCCCTATTCATTGTTAGTAAGGATAGTATAGTGGCTAAGATCACAGGCTCTGAAGCCAGAGTAATCAGTTTTTAATCCTGACTTCCTTTCCAGCTAGCTTTGTGACCTAGGGCAAGTTTCTTAAAAATGGGGATAATAATAGTACCCAAAATCATAGGGCTTTTGTGAGGATTAAATAATATTTACAAAGCATTTTGAACAAGATCTGGTATATAATACACACTGTTAATGTTGTTCCAAACTTCTGAGATCAACATTTATCAACATTATCACAAAACACAATAAACATTATCCAAAGTTTTAAGAGTTAGTTTTTGTGTTTTTTGTGGTAATTTCTCTTTTCTTTGAACTCTATAAAATTTCTTCGAATTTCACAAAGCATTTTTTTGATGAGGGGGTAGAGAGGGTGTTACAGAAAATTTACTGGAGCCATACAACCCTAGCTGAGGTAAGAAAGATGAGTAGAAATCATTTAGGCAATGTGGGGAGGGAAATATTTTAGGCAAAAAGAATAGAATTGAGAGAAAGTGGCGTACTCAAAGTCTTGATCAAGTTTTAAGGGAGTATAGTATATAAAAAGGGGTGATGAGAGTTCAGAGGTACACAGGGAAAAAAACTCCAAAAGCCCTGTATGACTTTTGAAGAACTTCCGACTGATGGCCTACAGGAGTGAAGTGATGTGATCCCATTTGTGTTTGCAGAAATGGGGACCGGATTAAAGGGTGGAAAGAATGGAGCAGGGAGAAGAGTTAGGAGGATACTGCAGTTGACGGCATCTGAAGGTCCAACATCTTATTAGCACAGTTCTAAAAGGGAAGACAGAGGGTGGAGATGATGAATTATTAAAGAAATAATGAAAAAAAAAAATTAAATAGAACCAAAGGGCCTGCTTAAGTCTCCAGACTCAAAGGGATGGCCTGACATATGGGTACCAGTATGATCAATGAAAGAAGAGTCACACTGTAAAATTAAGTTATGAAAGCAATGACAAATAATCTGAATAGCTTATAGACAAATAGACAAAATATGTATATATAATATAATACATAATAAAATGTCTTATATATAATATATAAAATATGTTATATGTTAATGTATATTACAGGTAATGTATATAAAATAGCTATAAAGAGCCAAGAAGCAGAACATAGATGCCAGTTAGAAGATAAAGTACTACTTTTAAATTCTGAGAAACTGATTTTTCAATTTATAATTTTATACCCAGTCGAAGTGGTAGAATGGTACAAAAGATATTTTCATAATGCAAGGAATCAGAAAGCTTATCTCACCAATATCCTTTCTTAAGTAATTAATTGAGGATGTGCTCAACAAAACAAGAAAATAAACTAAGAAAGTAGTTATGGGATCCAGAAAATAGTGGAGTCTCTCTAAGAAAGCAGTGAAGAAAAATTCTAGGATGACCCCTGTGCAGCAAGCATAGGTATGAAGTGTTTAGCCTGGGAGAGGAAAGGAGAACCTCAATTTGGACATCTCCAAGAAAAAGACAAACTCAACAGAATGCCTAATATAATGAAGAGATTGGGGGGAAATTTCAAAAACATAAGGCTACCCTAGAGCAAAGAGTTCAAGGCAAAAAAGAAAGAAATTCAGACACATCAGAAAAAACTAAAAGTTATAAAACAAAGGTAATATGAACATATACATAATCATAGTAATTATAAAGTTAATTTTAAATTGCAACTTTTGAGTTAACCAAGACGAAACTTTAAAAAAGTTCATCATGGTTGTAGAACAATATATACGTTATAAACATAAGCAGCATAAAGGAAAAAGTCCAGGTGGGAAAGACAGGGCTAAGGAGTGGTAGCTGGGAAGAAGAAACAAAGAGAATGACAGGGACACTGAGATGCTCATCTTATAAAGTGTGGAATCAAGAGTAATGTCTACAGTTGACAGAGCAAGAACTAAAAGCCATTATTTAACATCAGAAATGCAACCCATACAGTAACTTAAAACACGGATGTAATGATACTGGTAGGATAAGGGCAAGAAAGGGGTGGGGTAAGTCAAATAAATCCTTATCTCTCAAGTTAATGAATATTGTCCAACAGTGATAAAGCAACTGAGCAGAAAAATAGGAAATGGAACTATTAGAAGAAACAGATAAAATATTTAGAAACCGAATCTGTACTATTTGAATTTTTAATCATCTGCATACATTACTTTTATAAAAATTTAAGTCTTTAAAAAAAAGAATTTCTATACTCTGTCTGTAGTAATCAGATTTACCTGATTTCTCTTGTTCTCCAGCAGTGAAGTCTCATAGAGTTGAGCATTATGAAGAACAATACCACAAAATGCCAAATAAGCAGCAAAGTCCTAGAAAACAGATCATACCCAAATAAGAATTGTCTATAAAACTGTCTGGTTCTATTTCCTGAATCACAAAAGCATTCAAACATATTCACTGTTAGAAAGTCAAAAGTGTATGTTTGTTCTGCATCAAATTAGGAAAGATGCAAACCAAGTGTTAGCTGAATGGTACAAGTAGTAGACGTCAAGTGTTAACGCAGTCTCCAAAGGGCATACATTAGGTATAGATAAATAAAGAGAAGGAGGAGAGGATCTTTTATATCATATGAAATTGGAATTTGCTGTATGCAATCTGGGGTAGCCTCTGCATGATATTAAGACTTGGGTCTATGCTGGGACTATGTAAATAGCTTATAACTTATTACCACAGCAAACAAAAGTTCACATACTTGTGAAAAGAATATTGGCAATCAAAGTATAAAGTTAAATATTACATAAAGTTGCAAATATTTGGTGTAAATATGTTCTTTTTAACATCCTCATTATATTATACTAGGGTAATGTGCTCACAGTTACATTAATTACTGATTAAAATAAATCTTTAGATGGCATACTTCATTCACAATTATGGATTTATTTTGCCAAGATTTGACAGTGCTTAAAAATTACAAACTGATTCAAGAGGGGTTTACAGTAATGGACTATAAACATAATATAAAGCCAATGTAAATATAAAGCCAATTGAGAACCATGCTTTCCCACCAAATATTCTCAGTTGTCATTAACAGAACAGGAGTCTACATGTCTATTTTTCTAATTTAAAAAGGTACTTGCTCTGTTCTGAGGCAATTAAAACATGGGGACCAACATAGGTGCCAATGCAGCCGACAGCACAGAGACAAAAAATAACCCCATCTTGTTTGGATATCTTCCAAATTCAAAAGCTCCAAGTAATTTTCAGGGGAACAACATAAATAGTAATGGGTTTGAAATAAGAATTCGGTGGGCTATGATATAACATATAATTACATATTCAGTAGGAGAAATAATAGAACCTACTCACAAAATGAAATTATAAACAGGTTTAAGGGCCTCCATCCTTAAACGGAAAGCATGTCAACGTGGTGTGTGGTACGTATTCCTTCAGAGTTTCATGACAAGAGCAATAAAGTAACACTGACTGCTGCTCTTTCTGAAGCAAAATTCACATCACCCAGCCTGAACTCACACCTTGGCGCCCCAATGTCTGTGTGCAATGCTTATAAAACATTAGGAAATTTGCTTCACCAGGAGGCAATTCCGATTTTTAGCTAACCAGCACCGCTGAACTTGAAGCAGTGCTTTTAGGGGTTTTTACTCAAGGTTGAATCTCTTTACAGCAGTGAAGAAAGGCAAATGAGAGAATTAAAATACCATAAGTCACATCTGTGGGGCTTTCTTCTTACTCAATAGCACAGGTACTCCAGGTCCAATCAACACTGTACTTAGCTAAAGATACACTTTTGTATATATCAGATCATTTTTAACCACAGTGTTTCTTGTGATAAACAATTACAGCAACAGCTAATCCTACAGGTTCATACACTAGAAAGTGAAAGCATCTTCCTAAATTCGCATTTTGCCAGACAAAGGTTTTGGTACCTTTTCATCCTTCTCAGTGAATGTCCCACCATTTTCTGATTTCTTGTTGATGGCCTGGGCTACACCAACAACCTGGCATGAGAGAAAAGTGACACATTTTTTGTTGACTCAAATTACTGGTACAAATTCACTGAAGTATGTACACAGAAGATATTCTACATGTGATTTAAAATAACACTAAGCTACAAACAAAAACAAAACCCCTTAGCATTTAAAACAGTTCTGTATCATTTATTACATTCTTTTTTCCTAGTAAGAGTTCAACTGTTTTTAACTTCTTGGGACCCAAACTATATATGATTCTTTGATTTCACACTGCATTTTGAATGAAATTATTGTCAATCACATTTTAAGTGAATATTTTCCATAGTTTTTGAATATAAACAACAAATTTCTATACATTTCAAATAAAATATATTTTAAAATGAACATTTAATATTGGCTTAAATGTAACATTTCAAAAGGGCCAAATGCTCTTTTACTAAAAATGAAACAGGACCCAGTGGCCAATCATAGAAGGAATGCAAGAGGATCATTAGGGTGAAAATAACTCTTAATGCAGGGATGCAGTCCAACTTCTTTTAAAACTTCCGCCCTTGAGAATTATTTTACCTTCAACAGACTTATTTTTGGTGCAAGAGGTTACTGAAAAATCAAAACAGGAATTAACAGGCTGAGCCTTATTTCAAATATATCAGAAGGCATTTGAAAGTGTGTTTTACTTACCCATTTGGTTACAACTTCGAGTCTTATAAAGACCTCCAACTTACTTTTGCTTCCTCTTCATTACTTATAAATTCTACTCTTTTTTTCCTTCTGCAACTTAATATCAGCAAAATAAGCTATTATACCGAATACACTTTAGGAATTTGAGGTCTTTAATTTTGAGTGAGTGGGTTCATCCTTGTTTTCTCAGTTCCCTCCACTCCCTTAGCTTTAAGAAAAGGATATAAAATTCTCCCGTAGGAAGGCAGAACAAGGAAGGGGAAATACATTCTCGTCTGATGTAGTTTTCGTGTCACCTCAACACCTTCCCCCCCCCCCCACTCTCATGATAGATTAAAGGGATGTTAATTTAAAAAAAAAAAAGGAAAGAAAGAAAGAAAAAAAAAGCAGAATTATCCAATTACCTTCTACCTTTTTATTGTGCTTAGTTCAACTCTACTTCTGCATATTCTTTAGCTCTTGAAAATAGCTGACAGAGTTCTAGATGCTCCAACTTCAATGACTAAATGCCTAGGAAAGCTTTTGACTAAGGTCAAAAATGTCTGGATTGTAGCTAGGCATGTTCACTCAAAATATAACTGACAAGTATAACTTGGTTATTTTAAGTGTTCGTAACTCATTCATTCATCCTTTCATTTACTCAACAAATATGTACAGTACCTACTATGTACAAAAGAGTGATTAAAACTGGAAGTAACTACCCTGAAGGAGTTCAGAATCAAGAGTGAGGGATCCATAAACACACGCTTGTAGCACAGTAGGACGGAGTGATCAGTTTTAGGATAGGGACGCCCATCGAGTGCTAGGAGCACTGAAGAAGCACCCAATGTGGGTAAAAGAGAAGTCTTCTCACAAATGATGACATTAGACTTTTCATTTTTCTTTAATAAGTGATTTTATAAAGAAAAACTTAAATTTTCAAATCCTCATTTTGAGGAAGATGCGTTTAAAACATATAGAGATTGTTAGGTAAAACTTCTCTGATCATTACACAAAAGTAATATATTCAATATATGCTATTTGTACCTGGAGCTGTGTGAGGCAATGTGCTAAGCAAGAAAGTAAAGGGAAGTCTCCTGCTCACTCAGAAATATAAAGGAACAAAAAGCCAGCTGCTTGTTAAATGATCAATAATCAAACTATATTAACATTTTAGTCCATCACTATATCACCATAAATTGACAATGAGACGATAGTTTCTTTCAAAGTCTTATAAGAGAAGAAATATCAGCTTCACAATTTCTTTTCTGAATCAAGACTAGTAAAAATAATTGGTTAGATTCACACACTGGAACCTCTTGAAAATGAGGTCAAAGCTCCCTATGACCCATGGCTGTTGGCTACAGATACCCTCAGCCTAGTCAGGGATCTGTACACTGGGTGATTGAATGGTGATTTGGGATTGTAGAGGAGAGTCAGTAGAGAGGAGGATGTAAGATGTTTTATGCGTGGGTCAGGGAGCATCAATCCCTACTAGAAAAGCAGAACCAAAATATGGCCTGTTCCAGAGGTTCTGCAGTATCTTCCATTTAAGTGGAAGAACACTCAAAATAAGGCTTAATAGACATGGGGCTGGTCCTCAGAGCTCTCCCCTTATTAATACCTGTATCCCCATTTGAACTTAAGGGTTTTTTTTGTTTGTTTGTTTTTTCCCTTTTTGTCTTTTTTCGTGTCCGGCATCGGATTGCAACCCTCAGTGTCGCGCCCGTACCGGACCGGGACCGGCAACGGGACCGCAACCCTCGGTGTTGCGCCCGCACCTCGCTCAGCCAGTGAGCGGGAACCGGTCTGTATGTGGGATCTGAACCCTCGGCGGGAGCGTCGCCGCGCTCCCAAGCAGCGCACTGTAGCAGTGCGCCACCGGGCCGGCCCTGAACTTAAGTTTTAATCTGCATGTTTTAGAGTCAGGTATACTTATACGGTAAGCATTATTTCTAACTGTGGGCTAAAAAGTTTTCTCTCTGGTTAAGAGAACAATGTCCCTGAAACCATACTAAATTTATACCATTATTCACAATTTTCAACCCACATGATAGTGTTCATGCAGTTCAATAACTGTATTTTTCATTTCTAGAATTTCTATTTAGTTCTTTTTTCACCTGTTTATTATTTTTTCTTCTCCCTCTTCCTTTAATACTAATGCTTTTCTCCTTTTATCTCTTTGAACATACTTAATTTTGGCTGTAAGTTCATCCTCAGCAGGGACCGTTTTCCACAACAGTCCCATGTTCCCTGAGTCATGAACTGTCCACACACAGAGATTCCATTTGTCTTTGCACTGCACTGCTGGTGGGAATTTGAACTCCCTACCTGTGGCACAGGTGCACATTCTCATGGTTCACAGGTGTCTATTCTTTCTCTCACAACTGCAGGCAGAAGGCAACCTTCCTTGCTTCTCCCAGCTGCTGGTAGAGTTTTGCTAGACCAGTTTCACAGGTGGAACTTCCACAGAGCTAGGCTTCCCATGTGAGTTTAGTTTCACTCCCTCCGCCTCCCACCATGCCTGCAGCGTGGACTCATCCCATAGCCTTAGGCAGTAATCTCACTATACTCAATCTCAGACCTCCATGTGCCCATTTGGCTTTTGGTCACTCACTTTCCTTACTCTGAATTCCCTTCCTTGTTTCTGGGGTTTTCCATTTCTTGAGCTCATCTGTGTATTTTAAAAATTCTTTCAGGTGAAATTTTATCTTCTACTTGTTGGCAGAATGGGGGGTGGTATTCTTCTGTATCTGTTCAGTCTGCAGAAGTCTTGTTCATAGGCTTTAAAACCTACTTTGGACCACCTGAGTAGCAGGTCTTTACTATATTTAATTTTTTTCCCAACATTAAAGCAAAATATTTTACCATTGGGCAACTTCATAGAATGAGAACTGCCAACAATAAAGTTTTCATCCTTTGCAGTAACCAATTATTTCTCTCTCTACTAATTTCATAGACAGATATTAGAGGTTAACTTGTTTAAGGAATTATTAACTGAATATAATTGTTATAAAAAAGAAAAACAAAACAAACAAACACAAAAACCAGGCAAGTTCTCTCAAGAGACTATCGGACCAGGGAAATATATCTAATATGCATATATGCCTCCATCCCCAGATGGATGACATTTTTAAAACAACACTGATAAGAACAACGATAAATACAGAAGAAAAGGCATAGCGTTTGTCCAAGGTCACATAGACAGTAAAACAGAAAGAACAGTTTAATTCTCTGAATTTCAAGGACGCCGAGCAAAATTAGGACCCTCTGCCTTCTCGTGTTCATATAAAGTCCTTCCTTCTTTGGTCATCTATTGCTCCTTTAAACAAATTGGTTCATTTTCTTCAAATCAAATAATTGCTAACTATAGGCTTTTAAATGTCCGTTTTCAATGACAGCTTTTATTTCAAGTATATGTCACACTTCATATGTGAGAGGCAATACCCCTAAAAATGTTAGCTTCCATATCAGAAAGTCTATTCTGCATACCTGCTGGCTACCTGTACCCTCACATGCAGTTACTCCATGCTATTTTTTGAGCATGAAGAAGCCTCTCTGTTTTCTATTTTACTGGCACTTTCCACAGCATAAATAGATATTATGTTCTCATGTCCTCACAGGGTCGAGTGTTCTATTAAGAATGCTAAGGGCAAGACTTGAGTCTCACTGGGTGAGCGGTGTGGAATGTGACAGCTGGTTGTTTCAGGGCAACTGATCATTGCCACAGAGACTAATTTCTTCTTCAATAGCAGCTGCCCCAGACATTTACTGAAGCCATACATCAATACTAATACATTTCCCTGGTTCCAGTTCCAGGGGGATACTCACAATGGAAACAAAGCAAGGGAGGAACAGACTACAAATCTTAGTATCCCTCTCTCCCAGCCTCAGAATGTCTCCATCGTAATGAAAGGATTCTACAAAGTCTAATCTGAGCCAAAACCATACACTTTGCTGAGAAAACTAGAACTTGACTATATATAGGAGCTTGTAGTGAATTCTCCCCAGTGCTCTTTTCAAACATTTGACTCATTCATTCATTCTGCAATAAGTACTTCGTTCAACAAATAATTAATGCATGCCTTTATGTGCCAGTCATTGCTCTAGACAGTGAAGACACAGTAGTAAACAAGACAGATTAAAATCCCTGTACTCATGGAGTTGACATTCTAGTCAGAGTGTTAAGTTTGGAAGGTATCCCACCCCTGTTTTACAGATGAGCAAAATGAGAGGGTTGACATGACCAATCCAGGCTTTTGTACCTCTCTTCCAAATCCTAGGCAATCCTCAAATTATGGTAATATTCCATGTGGCAGGAAACATAATGACCCTCAATGATGTCCTTGTCCTAGACTCTGGAACCT